GAGAGAGAGAGAGAGAGAGAGAGAGAGAGAGAGAGAGAGAGAGACCTGATACACGCTCGCTCGCGTGCTAATTACCATACCATAGTAGCGAGTCGATCTGGTAGCGACATTTAAACGCATGATTTCCCTTTTAATAATCGTTACTCCTTCTTCTCTCCTTCCCCTCCCTTCCCTCCCCCAAAGAGAAGTGATCGCGGATCGAGTAGATAATAACGTACGAATGTGCGAATAAATCTCGAATATCTCAACGCTCTTCTTCCAACCTTAACCTTTTTAACACGCTCACTACAGTCTACGCTATATTTAGCAGCAGCTACATTTATGCTGCAATTCTAAGCAAATATACGAGTAAATCGTAAATCGTGAAGTCGTAGCTTACGAAAATAACAAAAAATAAAATTGTAAATATTTACGAGTTATCATATGATATACGATCCACATAGAATTGCAGATCTATTTATAAATTCTTATGAGTCTTACGAAAACAAGTTACGAGTTTTACGATTTTATCTAAAATTGCAGTATTAGGATCGATTTTTCGGAGATAGTAGTTCAGAATTAGATTTAACTCGATGATGAATAATGTGTTTGAGGTGTTTAAACAGAACTTAAACTTACATCCAAGCTTAAGCTCCATTTAGATCTACGTATATACACATCACAAACACTTCGTTAGAGTCTTAAGTTGTTAGAGTCTTAATCGCTCACTATAGGCCATGTCATATTTTTAGTAGCTGTACTTGGGGCCGATTTTTCAATATATAGTAGTTTCAACTTCTTTCTAATTTCAAGCTGCTATTGAACAATTAGTGCTAAGGATATAGCTACTAAAAATATAGTTATAAGTTATGTTACAAAATTACCATTATAAATTGAGTATTTTACACAATGTATCATACATGTGTGACACTGCTCTCTGGTGACAGTAGCGAACGTGTTAACGGAGTGGAATTCACCGAAAAGGTAGAGAGGCGAAATGCGAGATAATAAAACGTGTGACGTGATAAAAACGCGAAAATATCGGGGCCACACGTATCGATGAGCCAAGTGCCCGGTAATAAATCATCCCTGCTTTTCCGCGTCGTAATAGATAGTCGGGTCGCGCGTTCTTGGTGATCGCGAGTGATTCTGGGCTGCATTCCAAAACGTCCTTTTTGAGGAAAAATTTTTCAATACCCTATAGTTCACATTACATGTTTCTGAACGGCGGAATTTGGATTACAGGTTCGGGCGCCGCGGCGCTGGCGCATCTTGACGGCTCTGGAACGGAGGACGCCGCGGCGGCGATGGTCCAGAGGGTGACGGAACTCGCCCTCGGATATCCCGAGGGTCGCCTGGAGCTGCAGTTGGTCGGCGGTTACTCAGACCCAAGAAACTATTCCGAAGAACTGTTCTGCAATATACTCTGTGAGTACAAATTCGCCATTTATTCTCTTTCCCCATCTTGATCGCGCGCAATTACACTGTAAAAACTGATGTGTTAAATTTAACACATTTCATGTGTCCCAAATCATCCACTTTCATTTATGTGTAAATTTAACACAAAACAAATATATTAAAAAGTAACACGCATAATATGTAAAAAATTAACACAAGAATTTAACACTTGAATATCGTTAGGTTGTGTTAAATTGACATGTTTAATATGTCAGACATATTTAATGTCAATTTAACATTTTCATTTCATCAAAACCATAGATTAATACTTCTCTCGAATGTTAAAGTAACGTTTTGTTTTAGTTAATTTAACATTATACGTATGTCAGTTTAACACAAACTGTGATTCCTGACGGTATTCAAGTGTTAAATTCTTGTGTTAATTTTTTACATATTATGCGTATTACTTTTTACCACATTTATTTTGTGTTAAATTTACACATAAATGAGAGTGGATGATTTGGGACACATGAAATGTTAAATTTAACACATTAGTTTTTACAATGTATATTGATAGAAAAATATCGAGAAAATAACAAAATGTTTATTCGATATTGATAACATGGTTACTTTGTATTGTATTTATCGCAAATTTCGTAATAACCAAAATATAAACACGTAGCAACGTGGTCATTTTACTCTGATACCGAGTTCGGATGTCAAGGCAGAGTAAGAAGGCCATACATGAAATATGTATCTTAGTAGTTCCGGAGTATCCGCGAAAAGTCTTCACAGTCCTCCTATCCTTCAATATGGGCCAACTTTAGCTCGTCCGCTCATATGCCTGATTTGAATCATTTATGAATGAAAATTGCTTTTATTATATTGTATACTTGGAAGAAACTTCATTCTAACTAGTAACACGTCGGTTAAGCTTATTCACTCACAATGGGGAATATTAGTGCAGAATTTCGAGAAGTTGGAGAATTTATTTTGTTATTATCAGATTTTTTTTTTTTTCTATTTTTTAACTATAATATTATTTCGATTTTAATAAAACTCAGGGAAAAATATTTATGTCCTAAAAACGCTGTTTCGCGCTTTTGTAACCACTATTCCTCTCAACAGAAATATTAAAGAACAGCAAATGAGCAACATATCTCTGGCCCCGGTTTCCAAATTATTAAACATTTAGTTGATCCCGTTTTAACCAAATTATGGCCGTTCGAGTGCTCATGTTCCGACAGCAAAATCCTTTTCCCAGTGAAGAATATCGTGATCGTAGCACGCAGGAATTATGACGAAGCCAGTCTGCAAATATAAATAATTAGACGACGTTAACGGGATTCCGATCCTCTTCCGCAGCCGCTTTTCATAAGCAACCGGTGGAGATCGATCTGACGCTGTGCTGCGTGGGCGAGCTGAATACCACCGTGAGAGGCGGGATCCACTGGCCGGTGATCTACGGTATCGGGCTGAATGTGAAGACGGGCGAGATCTTTCCCGCGACTTTCCCCGACAAGGGCCCGGATCAGGCGCTGAGGTGCGCCAGACAATTGACCGGAGGTCAGCAGGTGCGTGTGCGCAACATTTCGTGCTCGCGATACACCATGTAGCTAAACGGTACCACTAACGAGCTGTGCGTCTAAGAATCACGACTGGGAGTCTACGCGCAGATTGCAATCGCGCACGATTTATACGTCCGTGAGTTGTCATTCGTTCATTTCGCAACGAGCGTGTATACTGCGTGTCGATCATTGCGAATTCATAATAATAAAATAAAATTACATATTCCGTTGCATTAATTTTCTTTTTTTATCTTCGTTAACATCGTATCAATTATTTGTCGCACGTTGTATTGAAAATTATTGCGCGTCTTGTTAATTAGATGAATTAATCATTCATTGGTAATTAAAGTGCCGGGATAAATCATTTATTTAAATAAAGTGACGCAGCTGGGTGTTATTTTTGTTTGTTTTATATTTTATGACTCTCATATTTTCCTCGTTCTAAATATATATATATATATATATATATATATATATATATATATATATATATATATATATATATATATATATATTTTTATATGTT